CTACTAGGAGCAAGGACGCGACTAGGGGCTCCTGGCATCGCTACTAGAACAAGGACGCTCTTTGAGACACGTCGATTTTTCCGTTTGCGTTCGGTGGTCTTCCCAAGTCTTCCCCCAAGGCTCTGACTGATGGCAAACGATACCACGAAGCTGATCACCGCTGCCAGCGCGAGTTGTGTTGTCCACATTGTGCCTAAGCCAACCTTGTGAGATCTTGTGAGCATTTGAAAGAAACCTTCAACTTGAAACTTGCCACATGTCCACATCCCAAAGTCCTTCCCCACAGTTCTATCAGGCCCTTACTGTTGATCTGCCCTCACACGACAGGCAACCGACTTGGCAATCAAGGAGGATGTGAGAAACATCAACGAGAAAGCTGCTCCCAATTGCCCACGAAGAAGCAAACTGCGACGGCCTGCCTCACAGTCTCATCAAACATCAGCTCCAAATGACAGCTCCAGATGATGGCTCCCATAATTCCAAAACAATAAATTGTATGAATTGTTGGGGGGTTATCAAAGTGTGATTATGGGAAGCCTCCTGGCGGCCGGACACTTTTCAACACAAACCTCGGAGCAGGATGTTCTATACTTTATAGTCTTTTTTTGTGTCTGGGTGCTATCTGCCGATCAGCCACAACCCATCACTCAAAACACCAAATCTGGTGTGCTTCTAAGTTTGCACAACGCGGTCTTTGTCCTCTCGTTTTGCCATAGTATTTTTGCAGTGCCTTTTCGATGAGTGGCACAGCTGCCAGCGTTGCAACCATGAAGATCACTGCAGAGATAAGAGTGCCTGCTAGTGGATGGGGCAGGCCCACTTCGGTGAAAAACTCCGTGCTGTAGTACCACACTCCTTGGTTGATCACTTGACATAAACAAGTCATAACAAATCCACATATGGCCTCACTGTATCTGTCAAGAGTCCATTGATGCCACAGTACTGTTGCAAAGCCATGAGGCTTACTGCCATGCAGAGTGGTCGCCGTACTTGCGGATCTCTGATAAGAGCTCCAAAGCCTTTTTGCTCCGTCTCCTGATTGTATTTGCTTCAGCTTCTTCAGCTTGCAATGTGTATCCGCTTTGTGGTGCAACCCTCTCAACGGCCGTCACATGATTTCAGTGACCTGAAAGTCCTGCTTTTTGACAGCGTCAGGAACTGGTCTGAGAAAAGGTATCAGGCACAGCCTTGGCATTGCATAGCCGGGCCAGTTACAGCAGGGTCAAGCCAATTTCAGTTCTGTGAAGAGATTGCGGGTATGTACATTCGTAGGGTGCAGGTTGTAGTCAAAGCACACACCTTGTCAACCTGGATGTTGCTAGGATGGATTGGATATGATTGGATGCTCCGGGCACGCCTCTAGTATTTCCGATGTGTTACGCCAAGTGACTGCATCATTCCAAACACGGCAGCCATCTGTAGTGCTTGTGGCCATGGGAGGAAGGCACCTGCCACATCTTGAGATGAACTGCAGTCCCAGCGGCTTCATGAAAGGATGGCTGTATGTCGCGCATTGATGATTTGTTAATTGCTCACTTGATGAGTTAAACATATATAGTTAAATCATAGCGCCATGAGGCAATTTCCATCAATTTCTTACTGACACATCGAACTCTCCATCCCTTCTCCATGTCAATCTCTAGTACTTCTCTAGTCTACTGTGGGAGGGATGTCGGATGTAATTGCAACATATTCCCAAATCATTGACGTTTTGCTTTGCAACGATGTGACAGGTGGTGCAGGGTGAGCATCTGTGTAAGCAGTTGCGCTTCGGTCAATGTGAGCGCTTTCTGTGGAAGTTCCATCACATGCTTTCACAAAATTTGCCCCAATCTTTTCGTGGGCACCCACCAGGTACTGGGCACGTCAAACTCATGCCTGCCAGCTGTGCCACCAACAGCCCCAGGACAATGGCAACCTGCAACAGAGTGTTGACAGCTTTACGCAGTGGAAGCAGAATGCGAAAGAGGACGCCAAACGAGGAAGGAAATCTTTGGACACAGATTTCAAGAGATGCTGATAGATGCCGATGATGGATGATTATTGCATGGTAGCCCTAGGGAAGTCCTGCCTGATGGAGGTTGCCGATGGCCCCTCTGAGGTGCAAAGGTGCCAGCTGCCCCAGGTAGAGTGGCACGAAAACCGTGGCAGCACCAGCGCCGAAGCCACCCACCACACGGCCCAAGGCGAAAAGCCACAGTGGAACGGTCGCTGTCGAAGCGGACACGGACACGTGGTGGGCCAAAGGGAAGATAAGCCCAGAGATGATGAAAAAGAATGACGTACTTCGTAAACATCTCAAGAGTCCTGAAGAGTTGGATCATGTTGGATCCGTATGTGTTGAACAGTCAAACACTCCAATTCACATCAATTCACATGCATGTTGAACTGTCATTCCATGCATCTATCCTCTCACTCTTGGCCGAGACACCCAAACGGGACACGGCCACAGGTGCCAACCAAGCACCTAGCAAGCCTGAAGGAGATAAAATTGCAACCAATGCAGACCACGTAAAGGAAGTTGGTGCCAAATGCAGGGATCTGCAAATCCCAGCTTGTGGCACGTTGATTGAGCCTCAGTGGCATTTCACATATTTCAACAATACAGTAGCAGCACAAGGTTAAGGCAGCCAATGTACTCAAACCAAAGCCGTACTGGAAACTCCCTGGCACTGCAGCGGCGCAGGCCATCCACAATCTCCACTGGCGATCTGTTGAAGATCTCGCTATATGCGCAATGCGCTTCACATGGCTAAGCGGTCTTGATCGATTGCGGCTCGAAGCCAAGGGTATGGGGAGCCTACAATGTGACCATTGGCAAGGAACCGGCAAAGCTGACATGGCAGCTGATTCAGCCAACACGGCGGCTGATTCACAAGCTGAAAACACCTCAAAACTCCTTGAAGAGGACTCCTCGATGTTTGTCACGCAAGTGGACGCAGGTCGCACACTTTTCCCGCTACTCTAGACCTTCGGACGGTGTGTTGCTCCTTAGATGCGTGCTTAGGTCGGAGGCCATCGCTAGTAGGTTGGAGGCCATCAGGCTTGACATAAGCATCTTGCATTCATTTTGCCAGGCGGCGAAGCGGCCATTTTCCGTTCCTTCTCTTCCCGTACCACCTGACAATGACCAAAAATGACACAGGCGATGCTTCTGGATGCCGTTTTCTCGCCTGCACTGGATCCTTTGTAAAGACATCTAGCACCTGAACTCTGAAGAACGGGAGAGTTGGACTGGTTGGACTTGTGATTCTGTCAGTGCACCTTTCAAACATCTTTATATCATTCTTTATCAACCTCGCACCATTTGCATGTGACTGAGTCCTTCGCCGTCTCCGCTGTGGAACGTTTGGCTGTGGTGCGGCTCTTGTCATTGGGATCCAACTCTCCCGTGAGCACCTCAATGTGAGGCATTCAATGCAAATAGGAGCTAGTAACAAGTGCATCGCTACTAGTAACAATAGGACGGTACTAGGAGCAAAGGGCATCGCTACTAGGAGCAAGGACACTTTTAGGGGCTCCTGGCCGTACTACTAGGAACCAGAAGCTACTAGATACGATTTATCTTTGTATTGATCTTGATGAATGCAAACCGGCCGTCTGGGCCCATCACACCAAACCCCACTCGGATGCCTGGAGCAGGGCTTTGGAATCTTTGAGGATCAAATTCATTGCTCAACTTCCCCTTCGCCTAAGAGGAAGATACCCAGGCCGGTGAAGCCAAAGATCCCCGCGGCCAAGGAACTTAAGCCTCGTGCCGGTCGTGCGAGCAAAGAAGTGCGTCACCACTTTGAGGAAAGGGTGAGCAGTTTTCGCTTGATATTTTCCGAATGGAGAGGGTAAAGGGAAAAGGGCATGCTACATCATGCGGCCCTTAGGTCCTTCCTGCTCTAAATCTGGCGACGCTACGGCCCCTTCCTCCTCTGAATTCTACCCGCGGGTAACTCACAAATCGCAAAAGGTACACTACATTGGAATGGCCCCCTCCTCCACGATCTTATTCCATACACGAGGCGCAAAAGCTAAAGCAAAAGCAGAAGGTTCCGCTCTGTGGGGCGAAGGACATCGCCCTTCGTGTGGCCCGTGTACCCCACATGCCGTAGTAAGAGGTCACATGAAGAAGCGCGTCGGTTGAATGTGTGAACTCTGAACTTAGCTGGAAAAGAATTCACCAAAAGATATGTTTGGACTACAAATTGCATCACGTGACAAGCACAGGCAACAGCATTGAGTGAGTTGCTCGGTGAACGCATCTACTTCGTATGAAGGAGTGCTGATCCATTGAAATCAGCCTTTGGAATGGTTTTTGAGACAAGGAAGAAGTCCTCCAATCAGCTTGGCAAATGAGTCAAGCAAAACTTGGAAGAAGTCATCAAAGAGTTTGAACACGCAAAGAGTTTGACCAGCAACAGTATGTAGTCTTCCAACCACTAGCGGCACAACCTCCTGCACAAAAGCATGTCCAATCAGGATGAATGAGGACTTGGATGTCCTACGGTGCAATGGTAAGGTGTCCTATGAGATCTTATGAAGATCTGATCCGAAGATGCCCTGGTGAGGATTGTTTGTGTAAAACATATTTTGGGTGATGGCTTCCACCGCAGTATTCTCACCACAAACGAGTGGCTCGCCGCCGTAGGAAATGGACTGAACTCCTTGCCTGGCCTTACGTTCTTACTATCTTAATTACTCATTACATCTCATTACTCTTTCTATATTTGTTGCTTTCTCTCCTTCCTTGATGTCTTTAGACCTTCACTACAGCATGCTACCCCTCACAACAGCTTCAAATGGCACTCATCATGCTTGGGTCCCCACCAATCACTGCAGCCTGGAAGACAAACCTGGGCAGGCCACACTCATCGTCGTGCCATGAACTCGACTACGTCCAAGTTCTGAGTTCGTCTGAAGAATGTGGTTGCATTCGCTTGAGCTCTTGTAAATTGCATTTTAACCGACTTAATGAACATGCACATGCTTTTTTTTCCCCAAGGCATGCTCTACACGGCTAGGAGTAGCCCCTGGCCTTACTACTAGGAGCAAGAGGACGCTAGTAGTAGCGGCATCGCTACGAACGGAGCGATCGGACGCTACTAGGAACAAGAAGCTACTAGTATCTCCTGGCATCGCTACTAGGAACCTGGGCATCGCTAGTAAGAGCAAGGACGCTACTAGGGGCTCCTGGCCTTACTAGGAACAAAAAGCTTTCTAGTACTTCAGAAGCTACTAGAAGCTACTGGGAACATCGCTACTAATTTGCGGAACTGCTCGACGCCTCCAGGCCTCCAGCGCCTGGATAAAACGTCCAACTTCGTCCAAGGAACCCCAAACGCTGCGCCGGGTAGAAGTCGGTCTCCACGGGATGAGCGAGGAACCATTCCTCAGTACCGCATCCGGTTGCAAAGAAAGGCAACAAGAGAGGAAAAAATAAAGCAAATCTGTCTTGAAGCTAAGACTCTGCAGCTCGCTGTGTAAACGTCCAAAAGCCATAGCTCAACGCCGCCACAGGGGCTGCTCCCAGCACACAAGCCTTGCCACGCGCAAACGTCGGTGTAAACTTTGTTTAAGGACGCCACTATCGCTATTAGGTTGGAGGCCATTAGCAGCAAGGACGCTACTAGGGGCTTCTGGCCTTACTACTGGGAACAAGAAGCTGTAGTTACTAGGAACAAAGGGCATCGCTACTAGGAGCAAGGACGCTACTAGTAACAAGTGCCACGCTAGTAGTAACAGGTGCCACGCTAGTAGTAACAAGAAGCTACTAGGGGCTCCTGGCCTTACTACTAGGAGCAAGGACGCTACTAGTGGCAAGGGCTTTTCATGGCTCTATGGAGCAATGACACACGGTGCGTCACCGGACTAAGTTCAAACGCATCGGGCTTCCAAGCGATTGGATCGACTCCGTTCAAGTCCACTTCCTCTTGGACCTCGGTGCAACAAGGTGCGTTACTCGCTCCCTCTCGGTCCTGTCAGTCCTCCAAATCAAATATCGATTTGTCTTGTCTTGGTTTCTGTTTTCAGCAGCTGGCAATCTGCTTCTGAGCTTCAGTTGGCACAGCCTCCGGGCCAACTCAATGAATGACTGGCTGTGTTGGGTTAAACAAAGGTTGAGCAATCCACAATGGATGAAAACAACAAACTCCTCAATCATTTTGTAGCCGGTGACCTTGTTAATGTCGGCAGGTTGGAAAATCAAAAGAAAAACCGTGAACTCGGCCTCCACTTGCCTCTCTTGTTCGGCGATGGTCGTGGCTAGGCGCTGCCGCAAGCGCTGTGACAGGGGCACACCTCAACCGTCTGGCAAGCAACACCTACAAAGGTCAAGCCAAAGGACATTCTGCCAATGCAAATCAAACATAATCAAACCATCACTCAGCGCAATGCTTGCTCGTGGTAGCTCCTGCTGAGAAAACATCGAAATTCGTCGAGACCAAAGTCGAGCGAGGGCAATCTTGGATGCAGCTAGGTCGGGTTCCAATATGTTCCAATGCTAGACCCAAAGTAAGACCCTCTTAGACCTGGTGGAAGAAGATGCGTGAAGGCGCATGATAGCGCATGTCTCCTTTGGAGCTTCTTCAACAGTTTCATCTTCCTCCCCCAACTCTCCCGCAGCCTGGCAGGTTCCAAAACAATCTCCCCCAAAAGCACAAAATAGCATGAGCATGCATGAGCATTCAAGAGC